GACTGTGAGAGAATAAACTTCTCTTTGTTAAAGCCATCCACTTGTGGTATTTCTGTTAGAGCAGCACTAGATGACTAAGACACTAAGCAAATATATAAAGCAAGATGCTTCCCAATAAACATTCCTCACTTGACATGAACTGCCACCTTTTGGTTAGCAGCTGTAGCTCTTAACCACTATGCCACCAGGGTTTCCAAATTATTCATAGTTGTGCATAATTTTATGAAACTTAGTTGCTCTGATATTGTTATAGCAATGCCAACAACAACAAAAATCTTATACCCTAAAGTATTCGCACAGTGATAGTAGTGGATTGGAGGTGCATGGCGTTATTAGGGAGGTGACTCCAAGCCAAGACAGAATGGTGATGTGGTAAATATAAATGTTGAAACAGAGAAGGTGATTTTTGTTTTGTTTTCTCCCCATTTGTGTAAAGGCAACCGTGAGACTTCCTAAGGTGAAATAGTCAGATATATTTAACATCCTCAGGAGTATAGATAACCCTCTGATTCCCCAAGCAGTAGAGATGGTGACTCCTAAAGGGGAAAGACTTTCAAGCTTGACTAGGTATACTGATACCACTAATAATTACAGTTGTTAAAAAAAATTAACAAGACTTTTGGTAAAATGATAGAATCAGAGAGAGTAGAATGATCTAGACTGAACAGCCTTCTAGACAGCGCTGTTCAACAGAACTTTCTGCAGTCATGGAAATGTTTTATATCTGTGCTGTTCAGTATGGTAGCCACTAGCCATATGTGGTTGTTTAGGATTTGAAATGTGGCTCATTTGACTGAGCAACTGAATTTTAATTTTAATTAATTTAAATCTAAATTTAAATGGCCTTATGTGGCTAGTGGTTTCCGTATCAGACAATGCAGTTATTGAATATGCCTTTCCCTGACCTTTACCATTCCTTGTCACAGGTAAGATATAGTCACTATTCTCAGAGAGCACATAACCTATGGAAAGGGCTGACAAATGATTAACCTTAAAATCAAGAACATAAAAAGTAAAGTAGAGAAGAAATGGGATATGTCCAGCTGAGTGGAACAGAATTTAGGTGAAATGTTAGAGAAAGTTAGCACGAGACAATGAGATTGAACCTTTCAGGTAGCACGTCTTTCATATTAGCTCTTGAATGCTCCATTTCTTCACATAGAAGACGCACAGTAAGACGTCATCCAGTACTGCTCTTAATTTCCCCCAGATACCTGTCATGTGTAAGCCTTGTTAGTACTTATTTCATTGAAAAAGTCTATATTCCCACATGCTCCATGAAACTTCTTGAATAGTGTATTCTCTATGCTCAGAGAATTAGAGCTTCGCTGCTAGCCAAAAGGTCGGCAGTTCGAATCCACTGGCTGCTCCTTGGAAACCCTATGGGGCAGTTCTACTCTGTCCTTTAAGGTCGCTATGGGTCAGAATTGACTCAAGAGCAACAGGCTTTGGTTTTTGGTTTTTAATGGCACAGTGGATAAGAACTATGGCTGCTAATCAAAAAATCAGTGGTTCAAATCCACTGGCTGCTCCTTGGAAACCCTGTGGAGCAGTTGTACTCTGTCCTGTCGGGTCGCTGTGAGTCAGAATCAACTTGATGGCAATGGGGTTTTTGGTTTTGTTTTTGTTTTTAATTTAACATTTATTTATTATTTATTTTTCTTTAGTTAAACTATAAACTTAAAAGTGGGCATTATATTTTCTATCTCTTAGATGTTTATAATATCACCCAGTAAAGTACTCAAATTCTTATTCAGTTGCTCAGAGTGATTCAATGGGATGTTTCAATTTTTTTCTAATAGAATAAAGTTCTAGATTTTTTATGGTGGCCTTTCTATATGAACTTCAATTCATTTTATCAAGTTTAAACAGAAAATCAAGTTATTTAATAGCTTTGCCATTTTTCTGCATAATTTCTATGTTCAAAAATTAAACTTTTGTTAACAGTCACTTGTATTTAATGAAAACTTGTGACATTTAATTTAGGAACTACATTGAAATACTGGGAAACTTGTGCAGTAATTTTTTTTTAATTTTTGGATATGGTTTCTCGAAGCAGAAATTTATATACCAGTAAAAGATAACATGATAAGAGGAAGATGTTGGGTTGCTGTCTCGACTCTTAGAATGCCACAATTTTGCAATACTCTCTATCTTTCAAATAAATATTTTTAAGAATTTTAATATTTTATTTTCTCTAGATTTTTGCTTCAGTGTCTTGAGGATCTTGATGCCAATCTGCGAAAATTAAACTCTCGTCTGTTTGTGATTCGTGGACAACCAGCAGATGTGTTTCCCAGACTTTTCAAGGTAATTTGAAAAATATTTGCATAAAATAATAATTTTTTGTCAGAGAAGATAGCATATTTGTAAATAAAGCATTTGAGGTAGTTTAAAATTTGGTGAATGTAAGTGTTTTTAAATAAACATGGTAAAATCAGACAGTGAAAAAATTGTTTACAGTGAAAGGTTAAATTTTATGACTACTGTAACCATTAGTCCAGAAGCAACCAAATCCTACACAATTTCTTGTGTTTCCATTAGAAATATCCATTGCATAAACAAAAATTTATGTGTGTATGTGTATAAGCTGTTCCTTTTTTAAAAAACCAAGATGAAAACCTATTGCTGTTGAGTCACACATTATGTACACCATTCTGTGCCTTGCTTTGTTTACACAACCATGTATTTTGGAGATTGTTCCCTATCATCACAAATAACTCCTTCAGTCTTTTAAATGGCTCCATAGTATTCCATTGTATAGATGTACCACAATTTTTTTAACTAGCTTTCTGTTGAACATGTATTATTTTTCCTCAGGCCTTTTGCTAATACAAATAATGCTGCCGATGAACATCCTTGATCTGTACTGTGTGCCAGTACATTTGTCGGATAATTCTTAGATGACGCCTCCCTGGGTCAAAGATTGTAATGATTGGCATGCTGTCGATAATATAAAATTGTGATTGTTTTGTTTTTTTAACTTGAGAGAATCTTAAAAATATCCTAATCTTATTTCCTCTTTTTTCCAAATGAAAAAATTAGACCTAGATAGATTAAATGAGTTACCCAAGGTCATATACCTTGTGAAAGTGCTCAGATCAGAAGTCAAGTGTCTGGACTGTTCTTTTATACTTACGCCTTCCTGTTAACTACCATTAGAATTCCTAAGTGTATATATGCTTTTTCTTGCAACTGTTTGAGGCATCAAATTGTTATAATTGCAATATTTCTGTTTCCAGTGCAGAAGAGAACAATTCCTTTTTTCCACTGGTTTAAAAGAAGCCAGTGGTTAAAGCAGTTGATGGCTAACCAGAAGGTTGGCAGTTCGAAACCACCAGTGACTCCATGGGAGAAAGATGTGGCAGTCTGCTTCCATGTAGAGATTTACAGCTTTGGAAACCCTGTGGGGTCTCTATGAGATGCTAGTGGGTTTTTCTGGTTAATGTTTAAGGTTTGGCTAATGAATCGGACTTGACTAGTGAAAATTTATTTTATTAAAGTTTGTTCACTACTGCAGTTACTTACAGTCAGAATTTAATTTAGGTGCATGGAAAAATTCTGATCAGAAAGCATATCAGAAACTGGCAAGAGTTTGTTAGCAACTCAGAAATTTAAGAGTGTGTGTGGATAATTCTAAATCCATTTGGTATAAGTAAAATGAATCCTTTAAAAATAATGAAACTTATGTTTACTTGTTTTTGAACAAACTTTTTCAAGCCAGCAAGTCTTTTGTGTTTTTTGTTCTGAGGTTTCTTCTGCCTAAAACATTTTATTAATGGATCAAACTATCTTCTGCATTTAGAAGATGTCCTATCTTGTCAGTTTGGGAGAGAGGCAAGAGTTTCCACATGGGCTGTGAAATATGGATACATAAGTACAAACACGTACACATACACAGATCACTTATTATTTGGTTCTGATTTTTCCTTGAGCTGCATACATTTATCTATATAAAATGCCATTCTGTGAAAAATTCCTTTCAGATTTATGTATTGTGTCTAAAGCCACAGATGGAGTTAATTCCTTTTTTATTATATTACTGTTCTAATTTTTTATTTTTTGTGTTTTAGAAGTATGACATGCATGTGTAAAAAAAATTAGAACAATCAAAGTATATATAATAACAAGCAGGTCTCCCTCCCTCTCCTAACCCTTATACCCCTAGTTTCTCTGAGGGAGTAGATTCTTTTGTCAGTAACTAGCTGACTCACTTAAATTAGTGTTTCTAGTTTTATTATTCTAAGTAGAGCAGATAGTGAGAATTTTTAATAGATAATCCTGTCACCACCCACATTAGAGGTAAACTGGTTTAGACTTGATAGCAGTACTTTTAGTTTATTGGGATGATTGGCAGTGGCTCCAGTACTGATGTCTCCTCTAGTAGGCATCTTCTCCCCTCTATAGCACTCATTCCTTGTGCTCGATTTATATCAAGTACATTTAAGATTGATGGCAGAGAATTTTTTATGCACACACAAATGTACACACACGTGTGTGATAAACCCTTGTCATTTTTTCTGAGAGGCTTCCTACTTAGAGCTTTTCCATGTAACTTAGTTAAATTTTGCCAGTATAGGTGTGAGTCTTAGCAATGGGGAGGAGGGGAGCCCTCTAAGTTCTTAATTTATTCCTTGTTTATTTTCCCTCTACTTAGAAGTGGTAGCTACTTTCTGTATTGGCTACTTTTGGAACCTTTAGAGCAGTACCATCCAACAGAAGCCCATGTGTAATTTTAAATTTTGTAATAGGCACATTTAAAAAAAAGTAAGAAGAACCACGTGAAATTAATTTTAATAATATATTTTATTTAACTAGTGCATCTAAAATATTATTTCAGAGATAATAAATATAAAATTAATAAGATATTTTACCTTCTTTTAATATGAAGTCTTTGAAATCAGTGTATATTCGATACTTGACAACACATCTCAACTCAGATTAGTCACATTTGAACTGCTCAGAAGCCACATGTGACTAGTAGCTACCGTATTGGACAGCCTTAGCTTCTCTTTTACCCCTTGCCATTGGCAATCACCTTTTAATAGCTAACAGTTAAGTTTTACTAGCTTTCATTAAATTTTTCCTGTTCAAATTGCTGATGTGGTTTCTATCTCCTGACTGAACTCTGATTAATTCCGCCAATGAAACCAAAAGCTGCTTCTCTGAAAAGAATAATAAAATTGATAAATTCCTAGCAATACTGATGAGGACAAAAAAGGAAAACACAAATTATCTATATCAGGAATAAAAATGGGGATATCACTAGAGAGTCCCCAGACCTTAAAGGGATAATAAATGATATTATAAAAACCATAATGCCAATAAATTCTACAACCTTAGGTGAGATGGAAAAATTCTTTGAAAAATACAACTTACTGAAATTCTCATTAGAAGAAAGACTAAACATCCCTATAAACCAGAAAACCAAATCTGTTGCCATCAAGTTGATTCTAACTCATAGCGACCAAATAGGACAGAGTAGAACTGCCCCGTAGTGTTTCTGAGGAACGGCTAGTGGATTAAAACTACCAACCTTTTGGTTAGCAGCCAAGCTCTTAACCACTATGCCATCAGGGCTCCAAATATCCCTAGATCTCTAAAGAAAGTAAATTTGTAATCAGAAACTTTTCCTTCCATAGATAAAACTCAGGGCCTAAAATAGCTTCCCTCATGAATTATGAAACCAGTATTATAAAACTCTCAGAAAACAAAGGATGAGGGTGAGAACACTTGCCAACTCATTTTTATGAAGCCACCATAACCCTGATACCAAAACCTGATAAATTTTAAGAAAAAAATAAAGTATATACCCCAGTGTTGCTCATAAACAAAGACCTAGAAATCCTTAACAATATATTAACAAATTGCATCTAGCAGTATTTTAAAATAATGATATATCATGATCAAATGGGGTTTATCCCAGGAATATAAAGTTGGTTCAACATTTAAAAAATCAGTTAATGTAATCTATCCTATTAGTAGAATAAAGGAAAAAAATTATGACTATCTCAATAGATGACAGAAAAAGCATTCGACAAAATTCAACATCCATTCATGATTTTTTTAAAAAAACTTTCAGAAAGCTAGGAATAGAGACTTCCTCAATTTACAAAAGATATCTACAAAAAGCACAACTAACATTATACTTAATGGTGAATCACTGAATGTTTTCCACCTAACATAGAGAATAAAGAAAGGATATTTGCTTTTACCACTTACTAGAAGTCCTAGCCAGTGCAATCCACCAAGAAAAAGAGTAGATAATTAGCTGACCCCTACCACCACTCCCATATTCTCTATCATAGAATTTTTTTTTATCTCCTAATAATACCTATGTATTGTCAGTCTTCCTTAGTGAGCTCCAGGAGGACAGGGACCTAGCATAGTATCTGACCCATAACAAGAATTCCAATAAATATTTGGTATATGAATGAATAAGTTTAGTGTTTGGGGAACCTTCTCTTCCCTAACTTTTGGTTATTTCTTGTGGAGAAACATTTACTAATTTAATCCCAGGGAAGGAGAAATGAATTATCTTATTTTGCTAAGTTTAGGAGAAGGAGCTAAACATGTATAGCTCAGGCTATTCTTTTCCCCTTCAGTTGCAGAAAGCACATATTTTGCTCTCTTCTTCCATGTGATAAGTTTTATAGAGGTGGGTCCACACTGTAGGGGAGACACTGCCTATCATTGGGTAGGCATATCTGTTTAATTCAGGAGTGAAATATTAGCAAGTTCACCTGCCCTTAAACCTAATATATTTTCTCCAGTTCAACTTTACTAGTAATGTGGTTTATATTTTGATTTTTAGCTCTCTGACTTACATGGCTAATATTCAGTTGTATCTAAACTCAAGAAGGGAAAGGGAGGTGGGTGTTATTTATTGACTCCTCTTACACTCTAGTATTTACTGTCTAAACACTAAAAATTTATATTTTGAAAAGTCAATAAAATTGCACACTATTTAGGAAAAAAATTGTAACGTATATGACAGAGAAAAGATTGCTATCTTTAAAATATAAGGAGCTCTTACAAATACATGAGGGACAAAATAGCTCTACAATAAAAAAAATCAAATAAACTGCATCCCACAAAAGAAGAAATACATAAATGGCTAGTAAAAATAATCCACAACCTGTCTGTCAGTTTGTCATACGGTAGTGGCTTGGGTGGTGTTATGATGCTGGAAGCTATACCACCAGTATTTCAAATACCAGCAGGGTCACTCATAGCGGACAGGTTTCAAGGGAACTTCAGACTAAGACAGACTAGGAAGAAAGGCCTGGTGATCTGCTTCCAAAAATTAGCCAATGGAAACCTCATGGATCACTACAGAACATTATCCAACTCACTTGCTTTGGACATTTCATCAGGAGGGATTAATGTCTAGATGAGGACATCATGTTTGCTGAAGTTAGAGGGCCAGTGAAGGTGTGGGAGACCCTCAGTGAGATGGATGGCACAATCACCATAACAATGGAAGAAGTACAGCCAGAATGTTCCTTAGAAGCAAGGATGGCGAGACTTTGTCTCACGTACTTTGGACATGTTATCAGGAGGGACCAGTTGCTGGAGAAGGTCATCATCATGCTTGGTCAGTGAAAGAGAGGAAGACCCTCAAGATGGATTGGCACAGTGGCTGCAGCAATGGGCTCAAACATAGCAACAATTGTGAGGATGGTGCAAAACCAGGCAGTGTTTCATTCTGTTGGACACAGGGTCCCTGTGAGTCAGAACCAACTCGACAGCACCTGACAACAACACAGTTATGAAGATGAGGCAGGCCCAGGCAACATGTTTGTTTCTTTTTTTCCCCTAAATTTTATTTATTTTATTGTTGTCATTGAGCTTTTTTTCTTTTGTACGTAAGTTTGCCGTAAGTCGGAGTCGACTGGACAGCAGCTAATAACAACAAGTAAAAATAACAGCTGTCATTTATTGAGGGCTTACTATGCACCGGGCTCTGTCATAAACACTTTAAATGCATTATCTTGTTTAATCCTTCAGTAACCTAGTAACCTAATTTTTTTTTTATTGTAGCAGATACTTAACGTAGTATTTACTGTGTGCTAGACACTCACTTTTCTAAGCGCTTCACTTACATTATCTCCATTTTATAAGTTAGGAAACAGGCATGGGAGTTTATCAGCTTGCCTAAATAGTTGAGCCAGTCTTTGAACTCAAGAAGTCTGACTTTAGATTCTGTGTTTTTTAACCACTACTCTACACTGTCTCACTATAAAACAAAGAAATATAATGCTTTCCTATTCTTATTTTAATTAATTTCTAAATTCAAAAAGTTTACTTGTACTAACAAATCTGAACAGTGCAGCAGTTGCATAAAATAAAAAAATAACTATCTTATTTACACTTCCAAATTCTACTCCTCCAAGGTAATAGCTGTTAAGAGTTTGGTGTGCATTCTTCAAGACTTTGAAGAAAGGAGAGTTAAAACAATGAGATATTATTTCTCTGCTAGTAGTGTAGTAGAGATTAAAAAAGATCACTGATACATATTATTGGCAGGAGTGTGGGGAGCAACACTCTGGTGTACTACTGACGGGGGCATAAATTGGTACAGGATATCTGGTGGAAAATTTGGCAGTGTCAATCAGAATTTCAGATGTGCTTATCTTTGATCCATCATTTGTTTTTTCAAGGAATTATTTCTGAGAAATAGTAGGACAAATGCCCTAAAATGTTTCAGATATATGCATAAAGATGTACACTGCAAGGTTTATAATAGCATTTGAAAAAAAAAAAATGGGAACAGCCCTTGTCCAATCTGTAAGGGTTTGGAGAAATTACAGATGATCTTTTTTCCTTTGTGTGATATCAGAGTAGATTTTATAATTAAAAAAAACTTCACTACCTCTTTGGAAAATTACTTAATTCCCTTAAGTTACAGTCTCCTCATTAAAATCACTGTAAAGAGACAATACAGAAGAAGAACATATTAGTATAGCACCTGGCACTCAGTATGTAGCTGCTATTATGGTTACTATCTCCAGATTTTCCAGTTAGCATTTTTGTGACACTCGAAAATATAATATATCCTCAGCAAAACAACTTACACCTTATCGACTGTCAAATGTTTTTTAAAGACCAGGTCTTAGAGTCAGCAGACACATAAATTCAGATTTTGGTTGTCTGTGAACCTGGGCAAATCCTTAAATTTTTAAATAAACTTATCTACAAAATGGAGATACCAGCCAACATGCCAGACTCTGAGGGTTGTCTTAAGAATCGAATGAGATAATGTATGTGCAAGTAATTTGAAAAAATAAAGTGCTATACAAACACATTTAGTGTAGGAAGCTGGTTTTAAGCATATTGCTAGATGGTCTAATGCCTAGCACAATCCCTGGAATGTAGTGAGTATACATTTGTGTATACATATTTTTGAATTGATAAATTGTGCATTTTGTTTCTGCATATTGAAAGTTTATGTGTAAACTTTCACCTAAAAGACAATAAAGTATTACTTTTAAAAAGTTTATGTATAATCATTGATATATACGTTTTGAACCTTTCACTTATTTCCATCCTTTGTTATGACAGGAAAAAATAATTATTAAAATTTATGTACTTTTTTGACCCATACTCTAATTTTAGGAATGGGACATTACTAAACTTTCAATTGAGTATGATTCTGAGCCCTTTGGAAAGGAACGAGATGCAGCCATTAAGAAACTGGCGACAGAAGCTGGAGTAGAAGTCATTGTACGAATTTCACATACTTTATATGACCTGGACAAGTAAGTTTTAACATCTGGGATGTAAGTTTGTAAAATGGAAATAATAATATATACATCATAGTGTTGTGGGAAAATTAAATGAACATATGGCAAATCCTTAGCATTTTATTTAAGCTGCTCTGATTTTTATTCACCCAGTAACAGGCATCACACTAAAATTTCAGGCATAGTGCAAAGGATAAAAATACTCAGCATTTCATTTTCAAAACTGTTGTTGGAGTATCGCAAAATTTTCCTTGACTAGTCTAACAGCCTACTGTGGTCTTGTCTTTCTAGGTTCTTAGCATTATTAATTTAATAGTTTGTATGATATATAGCCATAAACTGCCTTGATATCTTGTATGATTGTCTTATGTTATTTTATTTCATGTGTGTATATCTTTTCTCTCTACCTGGATTTTAAATCCAGATGCAAATTGTACACAGTATTTCTTTGTATACCTGTAGTCCTCTGAACAATGGCATAATAACATGTTCCCAACGTGTATTCCTTGCAACACCAGTCCCTCGTGATGCTTTGTCCAACAAAGATTTTGTTGTCAAATTTAAGTTTAGGACGTATTACATACTGTGAGTGAGTTCTGGAAGTTCATAAGGTTGGTTAACTTTTTAAAACTTTTGGTATACAGTCATTCTTGCTAGTGCTGAAATCTCCTAATTCATGTACCTTTTAAAGTATTTACTTTTTTAGTTGTATACACATTTCAGGAGCCCTGGCACAGTGGTAAAGCACTTGACTGCTGCTTGGCTGTTAACCAAAAGGTCGACAGTTTGAACCCAACAGCTGTTCCCTGGGAGAAAGATGTGGCAGTCTGCTTCCATAAAGATTTACAGCCTTGGAAACCCTATGGGGCGGTTCTGCTCTCTCCTGTAGGGTCCCTATGAGTTGGAATTAACTTGACAGCAATGGGAATGGGGTATACAATATTTCATCACATTGATAAAGCTAATTCTGTAAGTAACCTGACAAACTAGTTAATTGTATTCCACTTTTCCAGGTATCAAAAAGTTATGATTTGATTAAGGCAAGGATCTTACTTGATATTGACCTAAAAATTATATATCCTTTGACGGTAAATTTGCCTTCTAGTTTACCAGTTTACTTAATTTATAGGGAGCTGATAGCAAGGAAGAGACAAAACAGGATAAGAGCAGTTGATTCTAAGTGGAAGACTCAGTATTATGCACAAAATTAGTGTTCACTGAATTGAATTTGAATATATACTATATATGAAAATGTAACGCGTAGAAAATGTTTTTTCCTGAGGTTCTCATTTTGTAACTGTGTTGTGTAATCTGTAATCAGTGTCCTCAATAGTATCATTGCGCTATTATTGCAATCAGCAAATTTCATTCTGACCCAGTGTATAAACTCAGAATATCAGACTAAAGCAAAATTCACTAAAGGCAGAGAGAATAGCTTTTATGGTAATTACTTTCTGTACCTACACTTGATATATAATTTTATATGGCATAATGAAAAATATAATAGCTTTGCATTAAGAAAATATTAATTTGCCATTTATCCATTATGTGACCTTTTCCAAGTTCCTTAACACTCCTGTTAGGCTTCAGTTTCCTTATCTATAAAATGAGGGAGCTGGATTTTACCAGTAATTCTTTATTAATGCCAAATGCTAGTAAATGGCCTTAGTGAAAAAGAATGATTAATTATTCCAAAATAGCATCTAAACCAAACTACCAATGGCAAGGCTAATTATTCTTTTGAAAAATGAATTGAGGTAATTAATGATCATTAGTAAATATAAAAGGTGCTTAAATGTAAATAATTTGAAATTTGGAGGGCTTATATGTCCTAAGTATGTGACATAAGATACATTTGCTGACATCTCTAATGAAGGCATGAACACAATTGAAAATAGCACTATAATAATACAGAGTCTTAATTAATGAGACCTGCTAATTGCTCCTTGGTATAATTATTGGCCTGGTTTTGTTTTTATTGATGATTGAGAGATTCTTTGACCTAGGTTCTAATATGTTTTTTATGTGTCCATAATTTTTTTTTTTTTCCTGCATTTAGGCAAATTTAACCACTTCGTTGTTTTTTTCACTCATAGGTGCTTAACATCCTTTATCTTAAAGTTTTTGGTATTTGCATACTGTATGTTTTTTATACTTAGCAGATGTTTGGAAAATGAAGAGAATGATTTTTAGACTCATTAATCATTCTGAACCAGTTTCCTGGTCGTAGAAGCTAACATTCTCTTGGAAGTTTAAGTGATTAATTTTATGTTCTGATTTTAAGCCTTTCAGAGCTTATCAACCAAAGCATATTGTTATTTTTTTATAGTAACTGCATTTTACTAACTCTTATAATAGGATCATAGAACTCAATGGTGGACAACCACCTTTAACTTACAAAAGATTCCAGACTCTCATCAGCAAAATGGAACCGCTAGAGATACCAGAAGAGACAATTACTTCAGAAGTGATAGAAAAGTGCACGACTCCTCTGTCTGATGACCATGATGAGAAATACGGAGTCCCTTCACTGGAAGAACTAGGTGAGTGTAAACTGTAATAAATGTGGAACTTGAGTTAATAAATCACAAATCATTCAGAAAATCCCACTTCTGATTCTGTCATGTATTCACAACTAAATACTAAAAGAAGAAGAAAGAAAAAAAAATGCTCTTAAATTAAGAAGTGATAAATCTGTACATTATTCACATGTTCTATAAACATATGATCTATCATTATCGCCTTAAAATGTAGGTTCAGAATAATAGAGACTAAGTCAAATACTCTATATGTGAGAGCCTATCCAGAGCCCAAAAATAATTTTTATGCTACTCCCATAATTTTTCTGCAAAGTAATTTGTTTTCCTAATTATTGCAGTTAAGTAAAAATTATTTTAGTTTCAGAAGAATGATATTTTTTTTTAATTTTTTTAGGTTTTGATACAGATGGCCTACCCTCTGCAGTGTGGCCAGGTGGAGAAACTGAAGCACTTACACGTTTGGAAAGGCATTTGGAAAGAAAAGTAAGATAATACAGAGAATATAGCCATGCTCATATTTCCAAACTGACATTTTGAAAATAATATTTCACTGTTTTTAATAAAATAAAAACTAGACTGTGGAAGAAGGAGAACTGAGGGAAAATAGTTGTGTTGTTGTTGTTAGGTGCCATAGAATCAGTTCTGACTCAGAGCAACTCCATGTACAACAGAATGAAACACTGCCTGGTAGTGCATCATCCTCACAGTTTTCGTTATGCTTGAGCCTGTTGTTGTGGCCGCTGTGTCAGTCCGTCTCATGAGGGTCTTCCTCTTTTTCGCTGACCCTCTACTTTACCAAGTATGATGTCCTCCTCTAGGGACTGGTCTCTCCTGATAACATGTCCAGAGTACATGAGATGAAGTCTTGCCATCCTTGCTTCTAAGGAGCATTCTGGCTGTACTTCTTCCAAGACAGATTTGTTTGTTCTTCTGGCAGTCCGTGGTACATTCAGTATTCTTCTCCAACACCGTAATTCAAAGGCAAACCTAACTGAACAACTTTCTTTCCTCATTTAAATATCTTTCGCCATCCTCTTCTAATTACTGCCTTTTAGCTACTACCCATACCCTCTATTTCTTTCTGCCTATGCTGGTATCTAATGACGATAACTTTGAAGCTGAGATAGAGTTCTTCTCTTTCACCTTTACCTCATTGGACTTAAGAGTGTCAGCGAGACAGGTTGAGGCACTCTCAGCCTTGTGTTGGGAATTTGAAGGTGACTTGTTTCACATAACTGTGTGCCGTACGAGGATGGCTGAAAGAAAAGAATGCTCACTTTCATCCTTTCTTATTTTTATTAAAACATGTCATTTGTAGCTGGGATAATAATAAGATTTTATTCCCTAAGAACTACATAACTTTAAAAACAAATCTCAATTTTGACCATTTTTTTGAAATGGAAAAAGCAGTTAGCTAATGTAATTCTTTATGTATGTTTTCAGGCTTGGGTGGCAAACTTTGAAAGACCCCGTATGAATGCAAATTCCCTGCTTGCAAGTCCTACTGGACTCAGTCCTTATCTCCGATTTGGTTGTTTGTCATGTCGACTGTTTTACTTCAAACTAACAGATCTCTACAAAAAGGTATTATCTAAAACTAGAGCATATTTTTCAAAATACTTTTTAAAAAATTGCCTGATTATACTTTGCTTTTTAATCTTAGGTAAAGAAGAACAGTTCTCCTCCCCTTTCTCTTTATGGGCAGCTATTATGGCGTGAATTTTTCTATACAGCAGCAACAAATAATCCACGCTTTGATAAAATGGAAGGAAACCCTATCTGTGTTCAAATTCCTTGGGATAAGAATCCTGAGGCATTAGCCAAATGGGCAGAAGGCCGAACAGGTTTTCCGTGGATTGATGCCATTATGACACAACTTCGTCAAGAGGGTTGGATTCACCATTTAGCCAGACATGCTGTTGCTTGCTTCTTGACACGAGGTGACCTGTGGATTAGTTGGGAAGAAGGAATGAAGGTAAGTGTACTTTTAACTAATGTAGCATGGTATTATTTTGAAGGAATCCTACCTTATTAAAACAAATTCTAGAAGTTGTCTATTATGTAGATTCATTTATAGTCTAGTTTTTTAGTGGATAAAGCATTTAATTACCACACTTTTGCAGCACATGATGGTATTGTCAGACAGGTAAAGTGGTGAAAACTGATTAAACTGATTAAAGTCATTTCAATGGCTAAACTAGCCTAGTCTGTCAGGGGAACTCTAAGATTGACGCTCTGGGCTTATTGGATAGATAGCTTTATAGGTGATCATTTCTGTCACCAAAAAGGATTCACCCAAGAGTTCTTAAAAATAGTGAATTCCTATTATAAATTTAAATATAAATCATTTCACCTTGCTTCACCATCACAGCTTTTTAGGAATATTTCTGGTGGTACAATGGTTAAGTGCTGGGCTGCTAACCAAAACATCAGTAGTTCAAACCCACGAACTGCTCTGCTGGAGAAAGATTTGAAAGTCTGCTTCTGTAAAGATTCACAACCTTGGAAATCTACTCTGTCCTATAAGGTCATTATGAGTAGAAATTGACTTGACTGAAACAGATTTGGTTTTCTGGTTTTAAAGTGAGGCATACTACATTTTGTGGTATCATCTTATGGTTATATGTAACAGGACTTATGTATGTGTTTTACCCTCTTGGCTATGTTATTCATTTTTCCTATTTGAGGACCATTTCTTGATTCTGTGTTATTTTGCATCTCTTATATTTCCTAGTACAAAGTTGTACATGAAGTAGATGTACAGCACACACTTAATGAATTTTTTAAAAATCTTTTTTTTTATTCTGTTTTCCCTTTTGGATCAAGGAATTCCAGATTTAAACTATATGACACTAGTAAAGTTTTAAAGATCATTTATATTCGGGTGCTCCCTTTATGTAAACCAGTGTACCAAGCTTCTAAGTTTTGGTGTTATTTATATGGTAGCATTTTTGCTTTCTTGAAAGTATTTTATTGCTTTTTGGGTTTTGTTTTTTAAATTTTTTTAATCCCTTTGTATCCCATCTTATCTTTTTAAATCAGTGACTTCAGTAATCATTTTACCCTTCCCTCCCCCTCATAACACTGCAGAAGTTAGAAAGGTAAATTTTATTCAGAAATCTACTCATTGCCAATATGCTTCTTTCCCTGAAATGACTCATTATAGAATTTTGTGTGACAGAACATAGACAAGGAAACTAATCTTGGAATGTTTAATTTCACAGTTGTGTGCTAGATTTTCTTTGCCTTGACTTTTGACCTACAATGGCCTGGAAAATGCTTGCTTTGAAATTATGTGTGTGCAGACTAATCGGTTACTGTTACTTCTGAAGGTATTTGAAGAATTACTGCTTGATGCAGATTGGAGCATAAATGCTGGAAGTTGGATGTGGCTGTCTTGTAGTTCCTTTTTCCAACAGTTTTTTCACTGTTACTGTCCTGTTGGTTTTGGTAGGAGAACAGATCCCAATGGAGACTATATCAGGTAAATAAGTATGATTATTATTCAGTTTGGAATAGCATATTCAGGAAGAGCTTTTCATGTTTAAGCAACACTTAAAATATTCATAATGGGCTGCAGAGATCAGGAGAAGGGTAAACAGATCACTTAAATGATATTGATTTGATTTTGGTTGTGCATAGATAATAGGTTGTTATAATTTGCTTACAGTACATTTTAATAATGATTTTTCTTCTTTATCCTAAAAGACGTTATTTGCCTGTCCTGAGAGGCTTCCCTGCAAAATACATCTATGATCCCTGGAATGCACCAGAAGGTATCCAGAAGGTAGCCAAATGTTCGATAGGAGTTAATTATCCTAAACCAATGGTGAACCATGCTGAGGCAAGCCGTTTGAATATTGAAAGGATGAAGCAGATCTATCAGCAACTTTCACGATACAGAGGACTAGGTATGTCAGTAACTCTCTTTAATCAGTGTTTCTTCAGCAGCTGGCTATGTACGTACCCTTGAATTTTATCTTGATCGTAATTTAAGAGGATATTTTTTCCCTTTAGGTCTTCTTGCATCAGTGCCTTCTAATCCTAATGGGAATGGAGGTCTCATGGGCTATTCACCTGGAGAAAATATCCCAGGTTGTAGCAGCAATGGAAGTAAGTGAAAAGGAACTTCCTGTACTTTCTAACACAAATGATAATCAGATATGTTTATTGAACTTCACTGTAATATGTTTTAGAAAACCTATCTTTAAAATTAGTATGCTGGGTTTTTTGTACACATGCATACACGCTCACACAAACACATAACACACACATCCTCTCACTCCATTAGGGATGTTTTAGAGATGAAAAGCATCATTACATGTAGTAGAATTTACATCGAGTTAAAGATCTTGTAAAGATATTATAAACTTAAGGAAGAGAGCAGATTTTTAAAGGGTAAAATGAAATTCAAATTTCATGTTTTTAGAATGCTCTTTTTCCCCCTACATGTCTGCAGTTTGTCATTCTGTGGGGGCTTGTGTGTTGCTGTGATGCTGGAAGCTATGCCACCAGTATTCAAATACCAGCAGGGTCACCCATGGTGAACAGGTTTCAACTGAGCTTCCAGACTAAAACAGACTAGGGAAAAGGACCCTGGTGGTCTACTTCTGAAAAGAAGGAGCCAGTGAAAACCTTAAGAATAGCAGCGGAACATTGTCTAATATAGTGCCAGAAGATGAGTCCCTCGGGTTGGAAGGCTCTCAAAAGACGCCTGGGGAAGCGCTGCCTCCTCAAATTAGAGTCCACCTTAATGATGTGGATGGAGTCAAGCTTTCGGGACCTTCATTTGCTGGTGTGGCATGACTCAAAATGAGAAGAAACAGCGCAAACATCCATTAATAATTGCAACGTGGAATGTACAAAGTATGAATCTAGGAAAATTGGAAATTGTCAGAAATGAAATGCATAAAGATCAATATCCTAAGCATTACTGAGCTGAAATGGATTGGTATTGGCCATTTTGAATCGGAGAGTCATGTGGTCTGATATGCCAGGAATGACACTTTGAAGAGGAATGGTGATGCATTCATCATCAAAAAGAACATTTCAAGATGTGTCCTGAAGTACAGCACTGTCAGTGATAGGATAATATCCATAAGCTATAAGGAAGACCAGTTAATACAGCTATTATCCAAATTTATGCACCAACCACTACCAGCCAAAGGTGAAGAAATTAAAGACTTTTACCAAGTTCTACTGTCTGAAATTGATCAAACATGCAGTCAGTATGCATTGATAATTACTGGTAATTAGAATGCAAAAGTTGGAAACGAAGAAGGATTGGTAATTGAAAAATATGGCCTGGTGATAGAAACGATGTTGGAGATCACCTGATAGAATTTTGCAAGACCAACAACTTCTTCGTTGCAAATACCTGTCTTCAACAACATAAACAACGTCTGTACACATGGACCTCACCAGGTGGAACGTATAGGAATTAAATTGACTACATCTGTGGAAGGAGACAATGGAAAAGCTTAATATCATCAGTCAGAACAAGGCCAGGGGCCAACTGCAGAACAGACCATCAGTTGCTCATATGCAAATTCAAGTTGGAACTGAAGAAAATTAGAACAAGTCCACGAGAGCCAAAGTATGACCTTGAGTATATCCCACCTGAATTTATTGACTGTCTCTGATGCGTTGAACACTAAGGACCAAAGACCAGTCCCTGGAGAAGGGAAAAAAAGTAGAAGGTTAGCAAAAAAGAGGAAAGACCCTCAACAAGATGGATTGACAGCGTGTGCAACAATGGGCTCAAGCATAACAATGATTGTGAGGATGGCAGGGTTTCGTTCTGTTGTACGTAGCAGCACTATGAGTTGGAACCGACTCGACGACACCTAACAACAGCAATATTATTTTTTACTCTCTTTAGGTACACATCAGTTATAAGATAATTAGTTAAAAAGGCCAGTGGCCCTATGAAAACTGCCAAAAGATTTGCCATACACATGCATAGGGCCTCTAGTCCTTCTGCATATGAGTTTTTTCTTACGAAGTCTGGTCTGTGATAGTTTTGTATTACCGCATAAATTCTTAGTACATGTGATAGTAATAATGTCTAAGAAGGCAGTTTATTTGGGGAATAAATCATTATATCAGTTTTCTAAGGCTATAAGCAAAAATAGCATGAAGCTGCTTTCAGGGGACATCTAGGTCAATTGGCATGACAAAGTTTATTAAGAAAACGTTCTGCATCCTACTTTGGTGAGTGGCGTCTGGGGTCTTAAAAGCTACCGAGTGGCCATCTAAGATGCATCAGTTGGTCCAGGAGAATGAAGAACACCAAAGTCACAAGGAAAGCATTAGCCCAGGAGACAGAAAGGGCCACATAAACCAGAGACTGCAACAGCCTGAGACCAGAAGAACTAGATGGTGCCCGGCTACCACCAATGACTGCCCTGACGGGGAACACAACAGAGAGTCCCTGTTGGAGCAGGAGAAAACTGGGGAGCATAACTCAAATTCTGGTGAAAAGACCAGACTTAATGGTCTGACTGAGACTGGGGGAACCCCCGAGAGCATAGCCCCCAAACTTTCTGTCAACCCAGCACTAAAACCATTTCCGAGGCAAACTCTTCAGTCAAAGATTAGACTGGACTGTGGGACATAAAACAATACTCGTCAAGAGTGTACTTCTTAGCTCAAGTAGACACATGAGACTAAATAGGCACCTCCTGTCTGGAGGTGAGATGAGAAGGCAGAGAGGGTTGGGAGCTGGTTGAATGGACACAGGAAATCGGGTGGAAAGGAGGAATGTGCTGTCGCATTATAGGGAGAGCAGTTAGGGTCACATAACAATGTATGTATAAATTTTTGTATGAGAGACTAACTTGAAGTGTAAACTTTCACTTAAAGTACAATAAAATAAAATTTTAAAAAATAGCATGAGGCTAATGAATTTGGTTAAAAACAAGGCAGCATTTGTGGAATGGTTATAAAAAAAAGATCAGATGTTCTAAATTGGTATTAAGAATAAAACCCTTTTAAAAAATTGAACCTTTTGAATTCAGAAATGTCCTGCATTCTTATGGGAGCATGTATTTTATCCTCCAAGAATTAGTTTATGGAGAAAGGAACAAAGGCACTCACATTTTAACTGCCTAACTTGTGCTAGTACTAGAAAACTTCACAATACATTTTCATAGTACTTTCTCACAATAACTTTTTCACATTCTTACAATAACCTTCTGAGGTGGTGGTGGTGGAATTCTCATTTCATGGTTGGGAAAAATAAGCCTGGAAAGGTCAGGTAACTTAACCAAAGTTTCACAATTACTAGGGAGTTCAGCTAACATTCAGGTCCAGATCTGACTAACCTCAAAGCTCATATTGTTTCCCTGTATCACTGAGCCTCCCCTGCAAATGTAACACCTGTACTTCAGAAGTGTTCTTTCTCAGTGTCTCCTACAGTTTGAAGTAGAATTCAACAAGGTATTATTTCAAAAGTTCTTTCAAGTCTCCTGTTCAGTTCACAGACTGCCTTGTCAGCCCACAGAGGAGGGGGATGCACAGGAGCTCTGTGAAGCACTAAGATAACAGGCATCTAGCAGAGGGACAGGAAGCAACAGGCTTTCCAAGTGCCTGGCTAATGGACAATGCTGGCATATACTGCTTCTTAGTCCATTCTATTCAGTATCCTTTATTTGAAGTTACCTTCAAAAGCTAATCATGGTAGCAAGTTAAATTGGAATAATTTTTCTTCACAAATTTGTAACGTATGGTAGTTTATATATAATAGAAGAATTCAAAAATCTTGAACTATTTGTAACATACTTTGTAGCTAGGTGCTATGAGGCCTTCAAAAGACATAGAAGATATAAAAGCCACATAAAGCTTATAGTCTAAATGAGGTATGGAGAGGAAACGAAAACAAATGAAAAACGGGATACATCTTAGGTGCTGCCTCTGCATGAAATTGAAGAAAGGGAGAGATCATTGAGGGCTGAAGGAACTGGGGAATTTTTCTTGGATGAAGAGTGTCAGTAGCATTTGGGTAGGCAGATGAGGGAGAGAGCATTATAGACCTAGAAATGGGAATAATTGTGGAAAGACCTGTAGAATTTGGAGTAAGCTGTTAAGCATTTCTTCTCTCAGGTTTCTGCCCCTTTTGAAAGGACTTAACGTACTTCTAAGGCATATTCCTTCGTGCCCTGTGCTTATCCTATCTGTAAGCTTTTATTTTTACTTATTTATTTTTTAATTTTATTGTGTTTTAAGTGAAAGTTTACAGCACAAATTAGTTTCTCATTAAAAAAATTTCTCATTAAAAAACACAAAGTGTTTTGTGACATTGGTTGCAGTCCCCGCAATGTGTCAGCACTCTCCCCCTTTCTACCCTGGGTTCCCCGTGTCCATTCGTCCAGTGTTCCTGTCCCTTCCTGCCTTCTTGTCTTTGCTTTTGGGCAGGTGTTGCCCATGATAAACATGTATTATTGTTTGTTTTATAAGCCTTTCTAATCTTTGGTTGAAAGGTGGACATAGGGAATGGCTTCAGTTCTGAGTTAGCATGGTGTTAGTTTAGTTTCGTCTCTGTCAGACCAGTAAGTCTGGTCTTTTTTTGTGAATTTGAATTTTGTTTTACATTTTTCTGCCTCTCTGTCCAGGACCCTCTATGGGGATCCCTGTCAAAGCGGTCAGTGGTGGTAGCCAGACACCATCTAGCTCAGGCTGGTGGAGGCTGTGGTTCATGTGGTCCATTAGTCCTTTGGACAAATATTTTCCTTGTTTCTTTGGCTTTTTTTCCATTCTCCTTTGCTCTGGACGGGATGGGACCAATAGATGTATCTTAGATGGCTGCTTGCAAGCTTTTAAAACCCCAGATGCTACTCACCACAGTAGGGTATAGAACATTTTCTTTCTGAACTGTGTTATGCCAATTGACCTAGATGTCCCCCAAGACTTGTAGGCTTTTATTTTATAGTGCTTTACAAGGCCCATCAAAGGGCAAGATTCTTTATGACTTTTCTTAGATTTCTAAAGGACTGGAGCATTCTTAATCTCTGCAGTACAAATTACATTTTTCTCCCCTTGTTTTAACCATTTTTCTTTCGTTATCTATACTTTTTTCTCCTCAGGAAAGGAATAAGCTGTACACAGATGTCTTAAAGTACTTGTGTTCTTATAATAAAACAGACTACAATATGTTTAGTATAGAAATGTGCTCCAGTTTTTATTTTAATTTTTAGTTTTTTTATTATTATTAAATACCTGTTCATCAGCATAACTAATTATTAGGGAAATGCAAATTAAAACCTCTATGAGATACCACTTCACACCCACTTAGGGCAACCAACTGTCTCTGATTGCCCAGGATTGAATGGTTTTCTAGGAATTGAGACTTCCAGTACTAAAACTTGGAAAGTTCCAGGCACAGTGTGACAGATTGGTCACCTGACACCCGCTAGAGTGGTTAAAGTAAAAAATACAGACAAGTGTTGTAGAGGATATGGAGAAACTGGAACCCTCATATATTGCTAGGGTGGGGTTATGGGGTACAACCACTCAGGAAGATAATTTGGCAGTTTCTTAAAAAGTTAAACATAAATCTACCATTTAAAAAAAAACATTGCCGTTGAGTTAATCCCAATTAACGGCGAACCCTGGCGTGTCAGAGTCGAACTGTGCTCCATAGGGTTTTCTCTGGCTGATTTTTTGGAAATACATCATCAGACCTTTCTCCTAAGGTGTCTCTGGGTAGACTCAAACCATCAACCTTTTGGTTAACAGCCAAGTTTGCGCCACCCAGGGAATCTGAAATCTACCAAGCCATGGTGAAACAGTGGTTAAGAGATTAGCTGCTAACCAGAAAGGTCAGCAGTTCGAATCTACCACCAGCTCCTTGGAAACCCTATGGGGCAGTTCTCCTCTGTCCTGTAGGGTCGCTATGAGTTGGAATCGACTTGACGACAATAGGTTCAGTTTTTTGGTTACCCAAGAGAGATGAAAACATATATTTACACAAATACCTGTATGTGAATGTTCACTGAAGCTTTACTTATAAAAAGTGGAAGCAATTTATATATCTCATCAGCTGGCAAATAATCAAAAACCAAACTCAAACCCACTGCCATCAGTTCGATTCCGATTTATAGCGACCCTATAGGACAGAGTAGAACTGCCCTCATAGGGTTTCCAAGAAGCGACTGGTGGATTCAAACTGCTGACTTTTTGGTTAGCAGCTGAACATAAAATGTGGCATATTCATACAATGAGGTATTATTCAGCCACAAAAAGGAACAAAATACTGATACATGCTATAACATAGATGAACCTCAAAAATATTATGCTAAGTTAAAGAAGCCAGATACAAAAGACCACATACTGCATGATTCCATATATATGAAATGTCCAGAAAAGGCAAAGCTTTAGAGACAGATTACTGGTGTCCTGAGACTCAGGGTAGGAATAGAAATTGAATACAAATGGACATAAGGTATCTTTTGAGGGGGATGGAAATGTTCTGCAACCGGATTGTGTTGATGGTTGTGCAACTCTGTAAATTTACTAAAAATCATTGAATTGTATGCTTAAAATGGGTGAATTTTATGGTTTGTAAATTATACCACAAAACTGTTTTAAAAAATACCTGGTCACTGTACAGAATTTAGAAAACTCAGAAAAAAATAGAAAAGAGGAAGAACAGAAATCACCCCCAATTCCATCCAATAGAGACAGTCTCTATTAAAATTTTGGTATATTACCTTTTGATATATTTCCCCCACAGTAAGTTTTAAGTCAGAATTTTATAAATGAAAAATCCTTTTAGTGCTACTGACAACATAACACGAGGGGAAAGTGATCAGATAAACTTTTCACCCTTAAAAAACTTTGTTTTATTTTAACCAAGAAATACTTTTTTAAAACAATTTGCTTTCACTCTAGGGTATACTCTTGGCATTCTGAAATTAACTCCTGTAATGATCCTGAAGACACATGAATATGGGGACTTGTGATTTTTGTGAATGACTAAGCAAGTAACAGGCCTATTGATCAGCAATGCTCTGTTCTTCACTCACTGTCTCTTGCACTGTTCTGCTCATGAAAATATAATTTACATTTTACAGGGAAGTTATAGGCTATAGTAGTATAAATTTAGGGACTCGGGATGATCTTAAGTGCCTACCTACTACCATATAGCTCTCTAAAGAAATACAATACCACCTTAAGGAAATGTCCAAAGTATTTATTGAGCTTATTAATTTCCTCTGTTCCACCCAAGAGGTGATCACTCTCCTTATTTCTAATACTGTAGCTGAGTGTTGCCCTTTTTTGAACTTTATAGAAATTGAATCATGTATTTTTTCTTCTTTTGTATGTACCTTCTTTTGCTTAATATTTTGTTTTTGAAATTCATTCTCATTTATCTTAGAATTGATGAAATTGAGAACAGAGGCCTAAGATGATCGGTTTATGACTTGGCCCATGGGCCATCTTTATGAATATTCCAGTAAAATTGACTTTTCCTTCATCAAAGTCCCCATTGTATCCTGTACCAACATCCATCCAGGCACCTAATAACACTTCTTTTTACTTGGTGATTTGAATACCTGTCTCACCCTACTAGACTGTGAGCCCCTTGTGGTCTTTCTGCACCCCATGGCTTAGTAATATATTTGTATCCCTAGTACCTGTTATAAGTCACTAGCATAAATTGGCACTAGCAAATGTGTGTGGTATGAGTAAATATGGTAATTGAACATGTATTTGTAGAAGTTTTAAATAGTGCTGTACAACGCTGTACAGCAACAAGTGTCACTGTTAGGGGAAGCCCAGTCGATGGTAAGATTAGGAGTAACACCATTCACCGGTGAATTTGCCATAGTCTGTAGTCTGTCAGCCTTATAAGTCCAAAAAAATGACGTTTTCAGTATAATTAGAGATAATCATTCTATGAATGACAGACTGGAAGTTTAAAAATCATATGAATTGAGGTATCAGTAAGGATCACTATGTTGTTAATTTATGGTGGGAGATATCGCTTCCCAGTGATGAAAGGCCTCATCCCTGGCCCAGGGCATCTACTTTCCCAGTGTTGATGTATCCAAGATATATTCTGTTCAGGCCATGAGGTGGCCTTTCCAGGGACTAGAATGCTTGTATTTTCCCATCATCTGGACAAACTGATAAAAACTGTTTCTCTAAAACCTATTTTTCTGTGCTAGCCAACCCATTCTCCTCTTACATTGTTTCTTTTTAGGAGGGTTGCTATAACTGATCAGGCTAGGAAACTTCCCTATAGTCTGTGTCTCCTCCCAGATGTGTGATTTGCACTGTTCAACTCTTATCTGGCAGACCCTTATTCCCCATCTCCAAGGCCGTATGTTTTGGAGGGGCTGGGAAGGAGGACTGTAGAAAGGGAGGGACAAGAGGTGTATCGCACTGTTTCCCCTATTTTTGCCTTCATGGTTAAGTTTCTAATAGTCATTCAGTAAAATATTTTTTAGAAAATGATTTTCAGTGATTTTGCCTTTGAACTGTCAACCTTTCTATGAGCCTAAATTTCCTGATTTGGGCATGTGATTTTTGGTTCATATGGAGAATTGAGATTTGGTCCTAAAAGCATAAAAGGCCTTAAATGTAAATACTAAAAATTGGATATAAAGTTTTAATACATACAAGTTGGCATTTAGTTGAAGTAATTTTATTGTGTTTTGAATACTAACAGGTTGCCCTCAAGGGAATGGTATTTTACATTATGCTCACAGAGACAGCCAGCAAGCTCACCTGTTAAAGCAAGGTAAGAAGGAAGCATTCGAGCATGCTGTTCTTTTCACCTTCTCTATATTAAACAGACATTTTTAAATGTGTAGGAAGAAGTCCCACAGGCACTGGTGTCAGCAGTGGGAAGCGTCCTAGTCAAGAAGAGGAGACCCAGAGTATCGGTCCCAAAGTCCAGCGGCAGAGCGCTAATTAGGTAAGATTTTAGAGCCTAATTTCTTGCTTTATGTACAGTTAATGTACATTAAGATGATTTCCAAAGTAAAATTAATCTCTACTTTCAAAACAGAATCTGAGGCATAAATTTTTAAGTGATTGTTATAAAACCAGTTAGTTATTAGACAAGAGAAGTGAGCCTGGACTGGAAAAAGTGCTGCACTCAGTTTTCTGGTCATCCTGAATCCATGATCTTTAAACTTGAAAAGCTTATAATTTTGTGCTCAAGTTTTTTTCTTAGAAAGGTATCTTTTTCATTTCCTTACTATGTGACCATAAGTCTAAAACAATTAAAGTGGCCTTTTTATTTTAGTGGGATTCTTATAATCTCCTTGTGTACTTTTCCCCAAATCTTTGCCTCTTAAGTGTTTCTAAATTTCATTTATCTTCTGTGATGCTTATAAAATCTAAATTCTTCTCAGTTTTAAGTTTTTAAAACTGCTAGCCCAGTTCGGAAGTATCAAAAATCTACGCCTATATCCAGATCTAATTAGATTTGGTATAATATTTTGTGATTTAAATGAATGTGAAGAAAATATTTATACAGTGCATTTGCCAGTTTTTAAAGACTTCTTATTTCTTCAGTTATCTTAAACTATATTTTTTATCACTTAGTTTTTTATGCCTACCTAAATTAGATTGTAAATTTATTGAGTATAGGATTGGTAAACACACATGAAATTTTTATTATTTAATTCCCTGCAATCAGGCTTTACTCAGTTTTATTTTGTTTTGTTTTTTTCCCCCTTAAACCACAGAAAACATTCAGGAAGAATACTGTTGCAACTGAAATTGGTGGAGAGTTCAGTGCTTTTTCAGTTTAATTATTTTAAAATGTTCATTGATGGAATGGAAACCAGTTACATTTTGAAATGCGTTGTTTTTACTGACATTTCTGTGGTTTTTAACTTTTTAATGAATTTCACATAGGACAAATGGTGATTTGTATATAAGGAACTTGGTAAAAGAATTTGCTTACTGTAAATATAAATAGTCACAATTAGTATAGACCCATCAATATATTTTTGATAATTTTTCATGTATGGCAAAAGTTAAAGTTGCAAACTGATACTCTGATATAAAATCATAGTTTTGCGAGTCAGTGTGGGAAAATAGGAGGTTTTTAGACTTTCTTAAAAGACTGTCAGAATTTTAGGACAGAATTTTCTTCCAATCATTGTTTGTTTGATCTAAATTTGCACCCTTTGATAATAATGTTTTAGAAAACGTGTGTAATCAAAATTGGTAGTTGTAGCCTCTATTAAGACAGACGGTGTGTTTTAAAGCTTCATGTATACCTGTTTTGACCCATGAAAGTAATCATGTGTTAAGTTCTTATCTCCCTTTCTTTGTTTGTTTACAGCTAAAGTGACCTTGTTAATTAAACTATATACAAATATGGACTCTTTGTGTATTTGGTGGTTTAATCTTCTTTTTTTTTTTTTCTTTCTTTATTCTTTGGGAAGTGGAAGAGCATGGATTGGTATGTGAGACGTAATTATAAATTACAGAAACAGATTCTATAAGAATCTATGAGAAATGCTGTCTTAGGCTGGGTTCTCTAGAGAAGCAAAACCAGTAAAGTGTATAAATATATATATAGAGAGAGATTATATCAAGGAAACAGCTCACGCGATTCTAGAGGCTAGAATGTCCCAAGTCCATAGATCAGGGTAGAGGCCTCTCCTGAGTCACACAGCCACAAATGCTGGCAAGGCCAAGATCGGCAGGTCAGAGAGCAGGGCTCCCACTCACAGGCTGTATAGATCGACGAATCCCAGGTTCAGCAGATAAGCTGATAGCTCAAGTTCCAAGAACGGGAGATGAGACGACAGGAAGCAGCCACAGGATCCAGAGAGAGCAAAAAGCCAGAACGTCTGCTTATATTCACATGCGGGCCATACTCCCAAGGAGACTCCCTTTCATCTGATTGGCTACTCACAGTATATTCAGTCATGGGAGTGATTACATTAAAACACTGAGAATCATGGCCCAGCCAAGTTGACACACAATCTTAACCATCACAGTCCACCCCTTGTCAACTTGGCATATGTACACATCTCCTTAAACCATACATAATCTCTGAATAAAGACAATTAGAAAGTCATACTTGCACCTAACATGATACAACTAACTAGCCCCGTTCACAGCTTATATTTTATAAGTGAAGGAAACAAAAATATTTGATGCACACATACAAAGTAGAAATACTCATAACAATTATAGTCCCTGTTTCTGTAACTGGTCACGTGGCCGTAACTGGTATTTAGAACTACCTTCTTCCACCAGCCATTCTGTATTCCCTTTGCCCTCAGCAAGCACTTTGGCTGGTTGTAGTTCTTTGCCTGGTGGGGTGACCCAAACCTTCATTCCTGAAGGGTCTGTGTCATTAGTAGTCATGTCAGAATGACTTTGCTGTAGTTTACCATTGACTTTAATCACAGGGCATGGTAGTACTAAGAGACGCCCCAAGGAATCTCCTGCATTCCAGACATACTCTCCTTTACCTCCATTATGTAATATCAGTCTGATTTCTTCTTGGTAATCAGGATCAATCACACCAGCCAGTATGGTAACTCCCTTCTTTGCCTGTTGATCCAGAGGCATAAGGAGCCCAAAGTGGCCAGGTGGCATTCTTAACTTCCAGTTCAATGGAATCAGTGATGCGTCTCCAGGTAGGAGCATTCCTCCCTTTGGAACTAAGACCTCTAGGCCTGCAGAGCATAAGGTCGAGGGGACAGGAAGCAAAAATCTTGCAAGTAGGTCACTAGGGGTAATAGTGAGTGGTGCCACTCCCATTTCCACCCCTTGATTCCTGGACCCGTGAATCCTGGCTATGGGAGAAACAGCACCATATATTGGATTCTGGTTTAAAGCATATACAGCCTCCTGGAGAACATTGCCCCAACCCTGCAAGGTATTGCCACCTAGCTGGCACCATAATTGTGTCTTTAGAAGGCCATTCCATCGTTCTATCAAGCCAGCTGCTTCAGGATGATGGGGAACATGGTAAGACCAGTGAATTCCATGAGCATGGGCCCACTGCCGCACTTCATTTGCTGTGAAGTGAGTCCCTTGATCTGAGGCAATGCTTGTGTGGGATACCATGACGGTGGATAAGGCATTCTGTAAGTCCACGGATGGTAGTTTTGGCAGAAGCATTGCATGCAGGGAAGGCAAATCCATATCCAGAGTAAGTGTCTATTCCAGTAAGGACAAAACGCTGCCCTTTCCATGATGGAAGTGGTCCAATGTAATCAGCTTGCCTCCAGGTTGCTAGCTGATCACCTTGAGGGATGGTGCCATATCGGGGACTCAGTGTTGGTCTCTGCAGAGGCTGTGGCCAAGTCGGCCTTGGTGAGTGGAAGTCCCTGTTGCTTGGCCCATGCATAAACTCCACGCCTGCCACCATGGCCACTTTGTTCATGAGCCCATTGAGCAGTGACAGGAGTAGCTGGGGAAAGAGGATGACTGGTTTCCACGGAATGCGTCTTCCTATCCACTTGATTGTAAAATCCTCCTCTGCTGAGGTCACCCTTTGGTGAGCATTCACATGAGACACAAATATCTTCACTTCTTTAGCCCATTCGGAGAGATCTATCCACATACCTCTGCCCCATAAAGCCTTGTCTCCAATTTTCCAACCATGTTCCTTCCAAGTACCTGACCATCCAGCCAAACCATTGGCCACAGCCCATGAATCTATATAATAGCACATCTGGCCATTTCTCCTTCCAAGCAAAGTGAACAACCATGTGCACTGCTCAAAGTTCTGCCGGCTGAGAGGATTTCCCTTCACCACTGTCCTTCAAGGAGGTCCCAGAAAGGGGCTGTAGTGCTACCGCAGTCCACTTTCGAGTGGCGCCTGCATATCGTGCAGAACCATCTGTAAACCAGGCACGGGTTTTCTCTTCCTCAGTCAACTGATCATAAGGAACTCCCCATGAGGCCATAGGTGTAGACTGGGAGATGGAAGGTAATGTGACAGGAGTGGAGACCATGGGCATTTGGGCCACTTCCTCATGCAACTTACTTGTGCCTTTGGGTCCTGCTCAGGCACAATCTCGAATATACCGCTTCCATTTAATGATGGAGTGCTGCTGTGCACGTCCAACTTTATGGCTCTGTGGGTCAGACAACACCCAGTTCATGATGGGCAGCTTAGGCCTCATGGTGACTTGGTGTCCCATGGTTAAGCGTTCAGTCTCTACTAAGGCCCAGTAACAAGCCAAAAGTTGTTTCTCAAAAGGAGAGTAGTTACCTGGAGAGAATGGCAGAGCTTTGCTTCAAAATCCTAAGGGTCTGCGCTGTGATTCACCAAAAGGGGCCTGCCGAAGACTCCAAACAGCATCTCTATCTGCCACTGACACTTCAAGCACCATTGGATCAGCTGGATCATATGGTCCAAGTGGCAGAGCAGCTTGCACAGCAGCCTGAACCTTGTTGCAGAGCCTTCTCTTGTTCTGGTCCCCACTCGAAACTAGCAGCTTTTCAAGTCACTTGATAAATAGGCCGGAGTAGCACACCCAATGAGGAATATGTTGCCTCCAAAATCCAAAGAGGCCCACTAGGCTTTGTGCCTCCTTTTTAGTTGTGGGAGCAGCAAGATGCAATAACTTATCCTTCACTTTAGAAGGAATGTCTCAACATGCCCCACACCACTGGACACCTAGAAATTTCACTGAAGTGGAAGGTGCCTGAATTTTTGTGGGATTAATCTCCCACCCTCTAGCACGCAAATGTATTACCAATAAGTCCAGAGTCATTGACACTTCTTCCTTTCTAGCTTCAATCAGCATAATGTCATCAGTGTAATGGACCAATGTGATGTCTTGTGGAAGGGAAAGGCGATCAAGGTCCCTGCGGACTAAATTATGACATAGGGCTGGAGA